GAATCTTCCAGGGGGCTGACAGGAAGCCCTTGAGGTTAAAATCTTCAAGGCAGAAGGCCCCCCCAGCTTCATATTTAAAAGAATAATACACATGAAAAGAAATACTCTGCTTAGATAAAGTCATGACTCTGTTTTCATGTCAAGGGATTGTTCTTCTCGATGAGTAAATAGTGACTGAGAGGCCTGTTTCTCAATTTCTTACCAGTTACCAAAATTTTCCATTTCATCGGGTAAAGTTGCAAACATGCCCTTTATGATACTGAGCAACTACTGTGATTTTTAAGCTGTAACAGAATATTCTACAGTTATTGAGGGCATGTGTGGTTCACGGTATTTTGAAAATTATGTCCAGCCCCGTTGTGGAAAGGATCCCAGGCAGCTTACAATACATACAACCAAAGTCACGGCACAACTTCCATGGCTGATACACAATAAATAAATGACTTCCCGATATATTAAGAAGAAGAGATAACAAAATGGGAGTATGACATGCTACCAATTTTGTTTTAAAAACACACAGATACATACAAAGACTGGAGAGAAATCACCAGCATCTTCACAGCCACCCTCTCAAAGTAAGAGTATGAGTGATTCTTATGTTCTTGTTGTTGAGTATTTTAAACATTGTTTTACAATGAATGTGTTTTGTCTTTCTTGTATGATGATTTCACTTTATTATTATTTTAATTATATATAGTAAAATTCACTCTGTGGTAGGCACTTCTTTTTTTATTTTTTATTTATTTTATTTATTTATTTTTGAGAGAGAGAGGAGGGTGCAAGTAAGCAAGGGACAGAGAAAGAGAGAGAGAGAGAGAGAGAGAGAAGCGGGGCTCACCAGAAGTGGGGTTCGTGTTTTACCCAAAGCGGGGCTCGTGCTCACCTGAAGCGGGGCACAAACTCACCCAAAGCTGGGCTCGAGATCACTGGATGTGGGACTCAAACTCACGAACTGTGAGATCATGACCTGAGCTGCAGTCAGATGCTTAACAATTGATCCACCCAGGGGCCCTGCGGTGTACATTTCTGAGTTTTGACAAATCCATGGGGTTGTGAAATAGCTACCCCAATCAAGCTACAGAACTGTGCCACCAGCTCCAAAATTCCCTGGTGTTGCCCCTTTGCAGGCAGCCCCCCAACCCCCAACCCTGGCAACCACTTCCATTCTCTGTTCCTATAGTTTTGCCTTTGTCCAGAATGTCATATAAATGGAGTCATACAGTGTATGTTCCTTTTTTGGACCCGCCTCTCTCACTTAGTGCATGCTTTCTTTCATCTCAATCAGAAAAAAAAAACCTAGTCGATTATATCTTTAATAAATTAAAAACATTATATTTTTCTCATTAAAAAGAAAAAAAATGTCACAAACTGAATTCAAATTTATTTTTTAACAATAGGAAGATACTGGGAAGCACAGCTTCAACTGAGATTGCTTTCTTTTCTAGAGTTGCCATTTTGCTCATCAACTTGAAGCTGCCTCTTCGTGTTTGGGAAACTTCGCAAAATAAAACTCTCATGATCATGGACAAGATCTGTCACAAAAATTCACTCTCCACAATGTGTGTGATACATGCCCATTGAAAGCAGGGTAACATTCACTTTCCTACTATGACTGTGTGCCACAGACCTGGCTGGGATTCCCCTGTGCTTGTTTGGGGCACCCCTTAGCTTGGAGCACCTGCCAACATTCCAAGATAATTCATCAGTTATCGGATACAAGAAGTTCAACTGTTGCTATAGCAGCCAAGGCAAACTGTAAGGGGCCATTTTTAATGAAACTCTCCTACTTTAGAAGATTTCTGGGGCGCTGGGGTGGTTCCGTCAGTTGAACATATGACTTCAGCTCAAGTCATGAACTCACAGTTCATGGGTTCAAGTCCCATGTTAGGCTCTGTGCTGACAGCTCAGAGCCTGGAGCCTGCTTCAGATTCTGTGTCTCCGTCTCTGTGCCTGCCCCTCCCCCACTCATGCACGCTCACACTTCGTCGCTCAAAATTAAATAAATGTTAAAAAAAAAATGTAAAAGAAAGAAAGAAAAAGGAAAGAAGAAAGAGGAAAGGGGCCTCTCTCTTGGAAATTCTCTCGTGATGAATGCAGGTAGGTCAAGGCTGCCTGCAACGCAAGGCCCCCAAGAAGTCAGCCTGTACAGCTCGTGCCCTTGGGGAAGCAAGAGGAGAGCCACGCTCATTACAAACTGCCCAGGGAGCAAAGACTATTCAGACAGTTGTTGACTACCAAGGGCACAGCAGCGGGACAGGATGAACAACTGGAAGTCTACAGATAATCTTCAGCCCTCATCAGGACCACCATTTCCTCTATCCTTATTCCTGTTTTCTACCAAATTCTAAAAGGCAGCTAAACAGGTGAGCCAAGTATCACCTCTATTGACAGTCCATTTCCCTGTGTTTCCCCTGGCCTAAGTGCAAATAGTGAGGCAGAAAAATCACCAAAAAAAAAAAAAAAAAAAAAAAAAAAAAAAAAAAAAAGAAGGAAGAGGAGGAGAAGGAGTAAAGAAAACCCAAGATGATAGACATAATCCACACCTGAACAATGAGGCATCTTGGCAAGTGCCCCAGAAAACTATCAGAGAACACTCCAGCACTTTATTGTATGGCCTTAAACAGAATCTTTGACACTGAGTAGCAGGCTGCCTCTGGATGGGAGTGGGGAGACCTTCCACAATTAAAAAGTTTCTTTAGGCCTTTTTTCCTGTATTCCATAATAAAAATAAAAAGACATTAGAACCATCCATTCCATCTCCTTTCCTCCTCCTAACTACAACACACACACACACACACACACACACACACACAGTGTGAACTATGTGAGCCTCCATGAGCAAATCTGGACGTTTCTCCCCACTGTGCTGTACAGGAGAATTGCACAATATGATGCAGCAAAATGCTCCTAGTCCCACAGCCTCAAGGGATCAGTATTTAATGAACTTGGTTGGCATTTCTGTAATACGAACCATCAATACTACGTTCTGGTTCAAAGGCACCTATGGTTGGAATAAAGGAAACAATTTGGGGCACTCTTCCCCACCCCTTTGCAGAAATACTTTCTATGGGAAAGAAAGAGGTGGGGCAAGAGAAAGAGAAACACAGAAAGCGGCAGAAACTGAGAAACAAGCAGTTCTTTGCAGAATGGTGATAGCTTGGTGTTAAGAAGAAAAAACTCACTAAAGCTTATTTAAATGTAAAACTAAGAGAAAGCTTATAAGTGCTACTATAATACTGTTTAATTTGGTGTATATTATAAAATAGAAAAAATATCCCAAATGGGATTATTATCCTAAGACAAAAAAATAATACAATTACTTCCTGCTAAGAAACATGATACTGTATATCTAAAAACAGTATAAACAACTGTTACCCTGAAATAACCATGAAAATTCAGATGTAAATCCTCAGGGAAAGAGGCACAACTGTAGTTATATTATGAAGTTGTATTCCTCAAATTCAGAGGATAGTTCTACTGAAGAACAAAACATAATTTATATTCATTGCCCTCATTTTCAAAGGCCGTGTCTAAAGAATTATTTTAATTCACCATGTTTTTAAAACTTCACACAGTATACATACTTTCATCCTCGAACTTATTGCATGAGAAATACATTATTCATTTACAGATGTCAATGTATATTTTTTAAAGTCTGAGATGTAACTAAAAGAAAAAGTTGTGTTTACCATGATATCCCCACAACATCTGGAACAGTTAAAACTACTCATTTCCTTAAACGAGTGAAAGGAAGCCACCCATGTATCTTGCTTCATGTGAGTCAAAAAGGAAAGTCTGAAGAATTAGAACAATAAACGGAAGCTTTCTTCCCTAAAATGTAGCCAGCAAGATTTGTGAGACCTAAAAACATAGGCTACATTAGTTTACAACACAGAAGAAATAATTCTGTTCTCGCACAGACCAAGCAACCAAGGAAGCAGAAAACTGTGGGTTCCTTCAGAGATTGTCTTTTATTCATTTTCTGAAATGCTGCATTGACCCTGACCCGTAGAGAACACACAGCAACATTCTATCCGCTGACTGAGTGACTGACTGACTGAATGAAGAATGAATGAATGGAGTATGGCACAAAGGTGCCTGATCAATACCCACTCTATCAGAGCCCATATGCAAACATTTTCCTTCTCATTCTCCCTCAATTTTCCCTAATTCTTTTTTATGCTCCATGGTAAACCAAAGACGGTTACAAATTCTTTGTCATTTTGTCCATGGAACATCCCCTTCTACTATCTGCTTTAATCTAGGGCAAATCTGTGATTTCTCTGACCAAGAGCATATGGCAGAAGTGACTTGGTGACAGTTTTCAGAACCAGACTGTAAGACGTTGGCAGCTTTACTTCTTGTTTCTTGGAACATTCTCTTTGGGAGACCCACGCTGCTATGCAATATGTCCTACTAGTCAGACTGCCTTGCTAGCTAGAGATGCCATATTTAGATGCTCCAGGTTTTAGTCCCAACCAAGCCCAGTCTTCCAGCTATCTTCATCATGATGCCATGCACTTGAGTAAAGCCATCTTGGACCCTCCAGACCAACCCCCCCACCAGTTGAATAGCACTAGGCGGCCTTTGTCAACACTGTGTACAGCAGAATTCTACATGCTGAGATCTGTTCAGATTCCTGACCTACAAAATTGTGGATATAACAACATGGCTATTGTTAAGCCACTGTGTTTTGGGATAATATGTTACACAGCAATAGATAATTGGAACACAGTCTTCCTTTCCTTCTAACGATTAGCAGTAGAACTCAAAGGCAGCATGCTAACACCTCTAGTCCTTGTACTCATATGTTTGGCTACAAAGACAATGCAGGTAGATGCTGGGAGAAAAAACTGGGTTCTACTCATATGGTTTGGAGTAGGCTTTGGGCCTTTAATGCTTCTAGAGAAAGATTTACCCTGAAGGCTAGCAGCCACCTACCCTCCAGCCTTGGCACCAAAGATCACGGAGCCTCCAGCAGGCACCACAGAAGGCCATACCTGCCTCATGAGCTCCTCTTGGCGCATTCTAATCCTCTCTCTCTCCATCTGGATCCTCTGAAGCCGAAGCTTCTGCTGCTGCTGCTGTTGAGTGGTCAATGCATTGGGCATGCTCATGAGCCCTGCTGGTGGATTCTGAGTAGGGTGGTTCTGCTGGCTCAGGGTAGTGGATGCCATTTGCTGTTGGTGCTGGTGATTCATCACTATAAGAGAGAACGTGCAGGAGATTAATGAACAGGGCCTATAATACCTTATCAAAAAGAGCCCATCAGAATGCTCTGCGCTTTGAAGTATAGATTCCTGAGATTCCTTCCAAAGTACTTTCTTGTTAATCATTAATGTTTAAGTAATTACTACCTTAATTCAATTCATGGAGGCTCAGATACTGGCCCTACTCCTGACTCAATTAACTCAGCATTTGTGCCCTGTTAAAAATTATTTCACACCTTCCCCGTGTCTAGAGCGTATTTTAAGCCTTTAAGAACATAGTGGTCAAAAGTAAATTCCACAAATGGTTACCACAATATATGATTTAATTTTCAGTAGGACATCTGGGTGTGTGTGCACTTTCTCAGACAACCTCCATGCTTACAGCAGAGCTAGGAAGGACATGAGATTACAGATACACAATGGTGGACAATAATATCTAGGATGGATGAGTTATTCACAAGCAAAGACGTAAAACAAAGCGCCTAGACTAGGGACCTACACAGAAGCAGGAGACTACTGATGCTTTGTTCACAAAGGGTACCCCCGGGGGCACCTGGGTGGTTCAGCTGGTTGAGCGTCCAACTTTGGCTCAGATTATGATCTCATGATTTGTGAGTTCGAGCCCTGCATCAGGCTCTGTCCAGACAGCTCAGAGCCTGGAGCCCACTTTGGATTCTGTGTCCCCCTCTCCTACCCTGTGTCTCACTCTCTCTCCCAAAAATAAAGAAACATTAAAAAAATTAAAAAAATAATTTTAAAATCCTTCAATAAATTCTATAATTGGCATTCCCACATACAAAAAAAGTATTTTTAAAAAGTGCTAGTTTTTCTTAAAACAATTTACCAGTTAAATGTGCTTAACTTCTGCCTAGGCAATGTCCTATAATAAAGAAAACCATGCTTTTGGTTTATATTTGCTCTTAGATTAGAAACCAAAACAACATAGAGTTTTATATACTTCATTTCTGAGGAAAAACTCCTGATTTTTGCTATATTTGGGATCACTATCTTTAAAAAAGAAAATTATTGGTATCTTTAAGTTTATTCATTTGTTTTGAGAGAGAGAGAGTGTGAGTGAGCAGGGGAGGGGCAGAGGGGGGGGAGAGAGAGAGAGGGAGAGAGAGAGAGAGAGAGAGAGAGAGAGAGAGAGAGAGAGAGAGAGAGAAATTCCAAGCAAGTTCCATGTTGTCAGTGCAGAGCCTGATGCAGGGCTCAAACTCATGAGCCGTTGAGATCATGACCTGATCTGAGATCAAGAGTCGGATGCTTAACCAGCTGAGCCACCCAGGTGCCTAGACATATTTTGTTTAAACTCTAAAGGTTAAATATTTTAGGTCTTTGGTTTGCTATATGGACATCACATAGAAACATATTTTATAACTAACTTTTCTTAAATGAATTTTAAAGTAGCCTAATCAACCATATATTAAATGTATATGCAGACCCCTCACACACACACACACACACACACACACACACACACACACACACACACACTTGAAAGATACCAACACAGATTTTCTGGAGACAAATTGGTTTCCTCATGCAACAATTAATTCCACGGCAGGAACTTCCTCCGGATGGGGGTAGAGGTAGGGTAAAAACATTCTTTTTTTAAAAATTTATTTATAACCCACTCAAATCTTTATTGCATTTCCTGTGTGCCAGGCACTGGGCTTGTCGTTGGATAAATAGCTCCTGCCCTCACAGGAATTAACAGGCTGTTGGAAGGAATGTGTGAAGAAATGAGGTGAATTTATATGTGGAGCTGTGGAATGCTAGTGTTCGACTTTGTCAGGATTCTTAGAAATTATCTAGTCCATCGCTTTAGTTTGTAGAAGAGATTGAAACCTAGGAGAGGTAAAGGGCTGTGCTCTGGTTAGCAGCAGGTAGAACCAGAGTCAACGTGGAGGCCTCCTGATGTCCTGTCTTACCTGATCTTCCAACCATCCTTGGCTACCCTCTGCCACACCTTACAGTGAAGAACAGTAACAGCTGCTTGAAACTGAGGACAGCCTGCTAACCACGGTTTGCCTTCAATAGCAAGCAAGTTCCCACTGAAACAGCAGGGTCATCAACACAGGGCCCTGGGCCCAGAGCTGTCTGCGTTACAAACGGGAAGGGTTCGAGGAAGGTCCGGAAAGATGGACAACTGTCTGCTGATGAGGACAGGAGCTAACGAGCTCCTGAAGGGGAGGTAAGGATGCTTGTGGAGTACTCTGCCTAATCAGGTGCAGGCTTCCCTTTCTAAACTGAGCTCACCATAAAGAAATCTCACCTTCTGGCACCATTCCTGGCACACAGGGAAACGCAGTAAAACCGTGGGATGAATGAATGGAACCAGCTGGCAATTTCTTATGTTCTCAGTTGGAGAAGAGAAAAGAAGCACAGCCACAATGGATGCAAAATAATGGGAATGAGTGTTTCATTTCTCGAATGAAATTCTAGAAACTGTTAGAGCATTTTACAAACTCTACTAGAAGGCCTGGGTAAGGGGTCAGGGATTGTGCACACACTGTATCACAGGGGGAAAGTGCTCTTAAAATACAGATTAAAGTGAGACAAAGTCCAGATATCCGGAAAGGCTTAATCCATAAGACTTCTTTCAGGCCACAAGGAAGCTTAGATGGAAGAACAGTGATTATTTCCAGGGACAGTCATTTCTGAACTTCTGAGAAAGTATGCTCCTATTTTTTTCTGCCATAACTGCTATAGACAAAAAAGAGAAATCTGTGAATTGAGTATTTCCAATCAGAAATCCCCAGACTAGGAGAAAGAAGGTTAAAAAAGCTAGGTTGTTGGTTGGCAGTACAGAGGTTATTAATTTTTAAAAGTGACCGGGGTCCGGTAAGTTAATGATAGGACATTGGAGCGAGGCCATCTTCAGTGATTCGGGAAAACTGCCCTGTCAGTGTTCAAAGACTGCCCCGAGTTCATTCACAATGGACTGTTTCTCAACTGCACACAGAACCAAAGGCTGCTCAGCAGATTTTATTAGCGTCTGCCTCCTTATCTGGGGGAGGTGAAGACTTGGGAGAGCTCTTCGAGAACCACACCCTGGCTCGTCTTCCAAACACCAGACCTCACAGAGACATCAATAGGGAGGAACGGGGGAGATGTTGCTTTCTTCCACTTAATTCAGATTTGATTATGCAGACTACACATCTCCAGTTATTAACTATAGTGACGGGACAAGAGGGGAACTTAGACAAGAGTTTGTTTTCAAGGTCAAGAACACACACCAACAGGATTGTGTATGAGAAGATTCACCACAGTACTGTCTATCATAGCAAAAGACTAAAAATTCTATCCACCAAAGGGAGATGATGATCCATCTATTCAGAGGAATTCTACAGAACTATTCTAGAGAATGAGGGAGTTCTGTGGGTACTTAAATGAACAACATAGAGGAAACACTGTTCTGAGGGGGGAAAAAATTGAAGGGATAGAACTATATGCATGAGCATGCTATTACTTGCAGTTAGAAAGGGAGAGCCTGTTTTTTTAAATGTTTATTTATTTTTGAGAGAGAGAGAGAGAGAGAGAGAGAGAGAGGGTGCACATGGGGGACAGGCAGAGAGAGGGAACAAAGAATCCGAAGCAGGCTGCAGGCTCTGAGCTGTCAGCACAGAGTCCGGCACGGGGCTCAAACTTGTGAACCGCAAGATCATGACCTGAGCCAAAGTCGGACGCTTAACCGACTGAGCCACCCCTAGAGAGCATATTATACATACACAGCAAATCTCTCTAGGAGGATACACAAGAGACTGGTGGGTGCCTCTGGAGAGGAAAACAAGGGTCAGAGATGGGAGGAGATCTTCTTTTTCTTCCTCTGTACCATTTTGTAGTTTTCCTATGTGCATTTATTACTTATATAAAACAAAAAAATATAAAAGTAAAACCATAAAATAAAAACGTGGTCACATATGCATCAAACTCAGTATTTTCTTGATGGAGCTCAAGGAGATAACCCCCAAATTATCTGATAAGCAACAAATAAGGCTTAAGAATATTATCAAGATCATCAAAGCTGAGAGATCACCTGGTACAGCTCCTCCTTGTACAGAAGACAGAAACCAGCACCCAAAGGAAGAGTGGACTTGGTCAAGGTCATAAAATGGTCAGGGGCCTAGAAGCCAGGTATCCTGGGTCCACCGAGGTGCCCATGATTCAGCCTGCCACTCTGCTCCATCTAGTCAATTGATTTCGAACTATTAACCTTCTCTGAGCTTGCAGCTCATGAATGTTACTGATGGTTGAGGTTCTTTAAAACCACTGCTTTTGCTAGCTATTCCGAGAAAATGGGGGCAAAAGAAGACAAAGATAAGCAGAGGGGAGGACCTCAGGAGAGCACGAGAAGGCAAAACATGTAAATCTGCAATGAATAGAACACATCTTGGGATAATATTCCAGAACATTTTAGGGAGAGAACAATAGTTCAGTTTAAAAAAAAAAAAAGGAGGGGGGCAGAGTATCCAAAATACAGTTTCTGAGGCCAAACCAGTTAAGGGCAGACTGCCATTAAATGCCTCAAAAAAGCTCAAGACCTCATCAGCTCTAGACTTTTGCCAGTCCCCACAGAAAGGAATAACCCAAACAGAAGATTTCTCCATTGAAGCAGGAATGCATGAAAACTAAAGCAGAGACATCTATTTTTTTTCCTTCCAAGCGTCAGAATTTAATTTTAAACCCACATTTATCTTTTTCATTGTTTTCATCTCTTCTTTTTTTCTCCCTCCTTCAATAATTGGCTTTCTCTTCTGTTTTTGGAAATCAATATAACCATGCTCTGTAGCTATGTGGCCAGAAACATTTCACTGCTATCATTTAGTATAAAAGAAAACACAGAGTAAAACAAACTCCACAGCATCTGAGATCCAAACACCCTTTTAATTCAATGACTGTGTCCTTGGTGAAATAAACAGTCAACATGGGAATGGGGTGTGGCAGGGGTTGAGTATCCACGTTGGATATAACCCTTTGGTTAATGCTG